TTTCTCATAGTTTATTTCTTCATATTATGAGACATTTATTAAAAGAGCAATTTTTAAGGAGAGCTCTGAATATTGATTGGATTATATATACAAGTCTAGTTTGACTAGATTCTGAAATATTGCAAGTTAGGATATAATGTGTTTATAGTTTATAAAGAACATCTTACTAGTTCAGCAGACATTGTCCACTGAAACATACAAGTTGAAAGGTAAAAGTAACCACTAGCATAAAATAATCCTGTAGGACGAACATCAATAAACTCTTATCATATTACTCAAATTAATTAGCATATCAACTACACACTGCAGTGATAGATAATATAATTCAAAACTTTATAAATCAGTAGCACCTACTAAAATTGCAGCTTCAGAAGTGATCTGAAACATTAATTTAAATGACAATCTGTCAATACTCAGAAATGTTTTCTTCTTCTGTAATCATCAAAAGTATTGCCTGTCATACAAACACATTAACAACAGTCCTGACCCCATATTTAAATTTACATAATAAGATGAATTTCACCTAAGATTTTGAACATTTGAACAGATGAGTTAGATATTGGTGCTTCAGCACTCCTACTAAACTCCAAAAGAGGTGAGTAATAGCAAGACTCATACCTCTAAGTCATTTTCTTCAATCTGCTACCAAGAGCTACAAAAAAATGTATAGGATAAAAAAGGTTAATGAATATTGGGAAATATGCACCAATGGAGATGAGCGGTAATGGTCAGAATGTGAGTGGACACAGTACCAAACTTCCACTGGCTGACTCATATAATGAAAATCATGATGAATATAGACTGAGAAGGCGTTAGTGTATGCTACAGAAACATTGATGGTAGTACACACCAGACAGTGTATATCCACTGGAGCTCTGGTGTATCACGCCTTTCAAGAAACCCTGCAATGTCAGGCTCACAATTGATCAGAAGACATTTAACTTCCATCTTTCTTCAGTTTGTATTATTTTATTAAAGTTGATTTCTGAATTAATTTTTTTTAGATTCATGTTCATATTAAACATATATTTGCAGCTCTAAAAGGGTGCTTTCAATCTTTTATGGATCTAATGTTGTCTAATACTCTATAACATGCTTATAAGGTTAGAAGAAGATGGAACGAGAACAATGATATAGTAGAATGAGCTCGTCAGCAGGGCAGAGGCATGGCAGATGAGGAGTTTGAGGCCCCTGATGGTAATGAGGTGGTTAGTGATAGATTGTATGAAGGCACACCAGGTCAGGCTTGCTGTGCAAAATTAATGGACTTACTATGTAATAATCCAACATCAAAAATGTGGCGCAAAGAAGGATAGAAAATACAGCACATAAATTTCGGCATATAATATTAATGATACTTGAGAAACAGTGCATGAGTGAAGGTGGCAGCATGATAGGTAGAATAGTAGTAGAAATCTCAACAACAACAACAATAAAGTCAGAAATATAAAATGCAATGACAGACTAAAAAAAACAAGAATCAAAATGGTGTCGCATTGCTGGCTGGTTGTAATGTTGCATTTGCATGCGCAAAGCCTCTACTGGGTCTGGCTGGCGGCTCTCGAGCCTTGCTATCCTTGCATTCTGCTCTCTCTCCACTTCCTTCTTCTCCTTCTCTCTCTTCACCTTGTCCTGGATGATGTCCACGTCTGCTCCCTTGATCTCGTTAAGAAAGTCCTCCCATGTGGTGGACGCTGGTGACGTTAGATCCCTGATTACTCACAGCAATCCTTTGCAAACTTGATGAATGAAAATAGGTGTGTTTGCGACGCCTGCGTCATGTACCAGCCTCTGAAGGTGCCCATGGTAATGAAGGTGCGACCATGTCATCACCCCCGCTACTGTGATTTGTTCTCCAACATCTTCCTCTTTCAACCGTGGCGCTAGGAGTTCCTTCTGATAGTCTAGTTGGGACTTCGCCGCTACGACGATGGCTGGCCACTGCTTTCCAAATTCTACTCTAACATTGTCCCATGTAGTTTTCTTCGAGGCAGCGAGTCTGTTTCACCATATATCTGCCTGTGATCCCATGTAAATGAATGTGCTGAATATGACTACCTTTGTAGCTTCGTCCATGATACGATTGAGATATATGTATCTCTCAACCTCCCGCAAGAAGTTCTGTGGATTTTCCGTTTCTTTCCCTTTGAATATGGATGGCACTGGTATGCTAGCCATTGGTAGAGCTGGAATCTGGGGCGAGGTAGCTGCTGTTGGTGCTCTTAATTTTAATGTTGGTTTCAGTATGGAAAGCAGCTGGTACAGATACTGGACTGATGGTACGAATGGTTTGTATGTGTACTGGGTAGTTGGGATTGGAACTGATTCGGGCAAAGGGATTGATTTTGTCATATTCCGTTCCTGAAACCTTATTCGTCCGGGCCGGTTAACCTGGGCCCGGCCTAGACTTCATTACCTCAAGTCCCCATTAGTATGTGCTTCTATTCTACTCCTATGTGCCCGGACCTTCTTGACAGTTAATATCCGACTCCATTCTGATCCTTTCCGTTAGTCTATTCATTTAACTCGTTCCCTTTGTTCTATTTGATATCTGGCTCCATTCTCAATCGTCTGCAGTTTATTCTTTTGAGTTAGTCTCTCTAGTACATAGCATTAGCTTCCGGGGGCTGCGCTTCGGCCGGATACCTGTCGGAAGTACTACAGTATATAAACTCTCTGTAACCCATAGTATTTCTTCAGTTCGAATATCATCTTAGACTTGTCCTTTCCTCGTGTCCTTCGGACCTTCGGCCTAGTCTCGTTGTGATGATCAAGCATATGCTAGACTCATATCACACCATTTCCCTATATGTCTATGCGTCACCATTCCCTTGGTCCAAGATGCCTCACTCAGCATAAGCCGCATTCCTGCGCAGTTACCGACCGAGCCCTAACTTACCAAACCGCGTGCCTTGTCCTCCCATGTCCTGTCCATTGCCGTCTAACTCCATTGGTGCGTTTTCCTTAAGTATTCCTTGTTGCTAATCGCCTATAGTTGATATTACATGTCACCGCGTGCGTACCGGTAGGCAATTTACATATGAGTATCCCCGCGCACCTACACTCACTACTACCTTCGCCTGTACATCCCGGTAATCCACGCAAGTGGTATATATGACTTGCAGTAAATACTGAATACTTACTTCCCCTTTACCTGTCATCCCCAGACCTCAGCAGCGGTAGTCTCACTTAGTAGTCTTTCATTGCGAATATCAGTTCATTTGATTTCCATTCTTTGACTGACGGTACTTGAACACTCTAAGCACCTCGCGTCTCTTTAGACTTACTAGTTTCCCGGACCGCTACCGGATTTACCGCTTTACCGCGGTATCTTACCTTTGCATTTCTTTTAACCTCTGCTCAGGCGACTCGCCCTTCCTAATATACCTTGGTTTGGACTTACAAGTCCCCTAGTACAAGTTACCGCAGTTACACCACAGTTGCCGTGGCATTGGACTTTGACATTTCTTCCTCTATCCACGGTTCTAGCTAACTTACTGACGGTGTTCTTTCGGTTTCGGCTTATCCTTCTTAGGACTCAACAGACTCCCTTCACACACTATGACAAAGGATTTGCTTCAATAGCAGTTCCCTAGGGTCGACACTATACTCGCGCCTTATAGGATCTTAGTTTGTCCTTTACCGGCTAACTATTATCTCTTCGTTTCATCGTCCTCCACCTCCGAGCCTCGGGATTATATCCCTAAGGCTAAACTCCTCCGTCCCACCTTCGGGTGACCCCTATATACTTCCGGACTTTGTATATCTCTCGTCCGGACGACTCGTACACCTTTGTCCGATGTTATCCGCCCTTTGTAAATTAGGGACACGTACTCGGGTAAAGGGCGCAGCGCACGAGCTGAAGCCAAGCCTCTCCGGACCACCTGTTGAGCATAGTCTTAACAGATTTAGGGAAAGGGATTATGATGTTTGGCTCTGGTGCTCCCAGTAGCAACTCGTTGTCTTCGGTGTCTTCGAGTTCGTTGTCTGCAAGTTGCTGGTTAACCTTGTACTCTAAGTCTGTTTGTATTCCCTGCTCTAAAGTATGTTGGCTGATCTCTGGGGTGTTCAAGGGTGATGATTCTCCCGATGCGCTAAGATCCGCTAGTTCAGGGTGTGTTACCGCTTTGATGAACTGGCTTCCTGGGCCTCTTGGAGGGAGGGATTTCTTGGGTGGCAGCTTGGCTGAGGAAGATTCTGTGTTAGTGGTGGTTTCTTGTATATATATATAAATGGCTATGCTCTGAAAATGTGTTATCTGCAAGGCTTGTGACATGTACGTCCAAAAATGTTTGGGTTCGACTTCTCGAAGCTCGGTTACTCTGCTCTAAACTCTGGTGCTCGGCTCAGGGGGAGTATGGACCGATGTTATACTCGGTTCAGGGACGATCTTACTCTGTTCACCAGTTGTAGTGGGCTCTGCCTGCTCTCACACTGGATGGATGCTCAAGGAAGGATAATCATTGCTCTACTACTCTATGTGGTTCTGCCCTGCGGTCAGCAAACTCCGCTCCAAACATGGCCAAACAGTACTAATCTCCCCGCCTACAGTCCCTACTCCATCATGTTGATATGGTTTCACTTTGAGGTACATTCAACTGGTCCCTAGTCAAGTGGTCATTACAACAGAGTCAAAATCTGGTTCTCTTGAATTGCGTAGGTTTGAAACCCGCTGAACAACAGTTTTTCTATTGAAACATGCCCTGAGGTCAAGTCTTTGTCGGTTGGGCTGTCACGACAGAGTCAAAATCTGTTAGCGTAGATTTGAAACCTGCTGAATGTCATTTTTGCAATGGTGACATGCCCTGTCGCTGAATCATGGATAGTTTTCTTTGCTGTTCATTCAACAGTTCATAGCCGAGTGGTTATCGACATAGAGTTTAAATCTGCAGGACCACACCAGACTTTAGATTTGATGGGCTGACCCACCAAATGTCATTTTTTCTGTTATGATACGCCCCGCCATTGACTCATTGACTGTTTTCTCAATGACACATCCAACAGTTCTTAGCCAAGTGGTTATCACCACAGAGTCGAAATCTGTTAGTGTGGGTTCGAAACCCGCTGAATGTGATTTTTACTATCAAATGTGTCATTCCATTGACTTATGAACAGCTTCCTCATCTGTTCATCCAACAGTTCTTAGCTGAGCGGTTATCAAGTTAGAGTTCAAAACTGATAGATGATCACAACAGAATGGAAATCTGTTGGTGTGGGTTTGAAATCCACTGAATGTCATTTTTGCTATCATGATCCATCGTCTCATTGACTCATGGACAGTTTTCTCAGCACCATATCCAACAGTTCTTAGCCAAGCGATTACCACCACAGAATCGAAATCTGATCATGTACTATAGCTTCTAGATAAAGTCTTTTCTCAACTAAGTCCATAGGTCAATGATGCCATATAAACAGACTCATGAAAATATTATTTACTGTGTTTTTCTTTCAATGATAGTGAGAGCATGCACTAAGGTAGAATGTGTCATAAAGAAGAAAGCAAAACAACATGTAAAAGACGGTCATTTGAGATGTGATGTTATCAAAATCACACTAACTGATTATGTTTACAGCTCCAAACTTAATATTTCTATCATGACAGCTATCAGTAACTGCACAACATTGCAGATTAATCATCTAGCTTTATTTTGTTAAGATCAGAACAACACTGCTGGTTAAATTATATAGATTTATAGTCATAAACAATGCAAGTATGTAAAATTTCTTCGAAAGAGACTAAATCTCATTATTCTTGATGAATATACACATCACTCCAAGATGTACAAAGAAAAGCAGTGTAAGCAGTATATGAGTTGTGAATTAGCCCTCAGTATCCTTGTCCAACTTCAAATTTGATGACAGCTTGACTCCATACTCTCAGACTGACCAAGTTGGACTGATCATTTTCATTTTTCATATCAGTTAATAATGATCATATTGAATGTAGACACCATGCTGCTTTGGGCGAAATCTGACGAATGTTCAATGTGCTCAATCAGTACCAGCACTTGAAGCTAGGAAAGCCCTTTGAATTTGATGGAAGCACAACGCATGAGACCTTGACACTTAGTGTTGTGAAGTGCCTCAAAGCTGTCATTGACATGCAGACAGAGGTTTTGTCCAAGATCTATCGCATTCTGGAGGGCACATTCAACACCCACAGGTTCGTGAACATCTTCCATGTCGGTCTGAGCTGACTCACTCACATTTTCATCAGTCCGTACTTTGCAATTTCAAACTGACACCCTTGCAACTGCAATGATCACTCCTGTGGACGGGGGTTTCCGACCATCAATGTCTGGAGTATCGGGTGGCCAAATCATTTTCCCCTCTGCCCAGTGTCCCTTGGCCTTATCATTGTGTCTCAAGCAATTCGAGGCAGAGCTTGCATTCATTGTGGTGGCATGACCAACTCAAACAACAGCCCACATCTTCAATATCTTTGCAAGATGGAAGCGACTTCAAGCTCTTGTGAGTGCATCAGACTGATTTATGGAGTAAAAGTGGATGCCTGACACAGCGACAACGGTTTTCTGCACAACTTCTTTGGTGCAAGGCACATACAACGAACTAAGTCTGTTACCCGACATCATAGGTGGAATGAGCACTTGCCATGCTATTCAAGAGGTATGCAAGAAAACTGTGTCAACACAGTTTGAGGCAATCTTGGAGCCTTTTGTCGGTCACCGCATAGCAGAACTTTAAAACATTATGGACACGTCCTTGTCCATCATTACAGGATCCTGCGCAAGAAAGATGTTGCTGGCGATCAGTTCACACCCACCAATCTCAACTTCATCGCCCCATTCTGTGGGGTCACCACCTTGTATGCATTCATCATCCACCATTTGGGTTATCAGTAAATAAACAATAAGACATCTTGCCATCTAGGATTTACGCAATGCCTCAGCAGCTTTGCAAGATTCAGACAAGACAAAAGAACCATCACTGTCTCTAAAGCAGGTGGCGATGGTATCTTCAAGGTGGTTGCCTCTGCGCAGACCACATTAGACATGATCATCATGACATCAGGTGGTCTCGCTGTGTTCTACCTGATGTGGACATTAAACAACATAGCACTCATGAACCACCCAGCAGAGAATAAATAACTGAAGATTGGATGTATGTGAGGGTCAGAAATCCGGGTTGAAACCACCACCTCCTTTCTCGATCAACTGTGCGGAAAATTATGTCCGACATTGTAGCACAATGTTGCTGATAGATGAGAACAGTTAATGGTTTCAGAGTGGGACTTCAGGTATTCCCTCGCAGATCTTGTTGATCGCTCGTAGACCATCTGGCGCCTTCATCTGCACTGCTAGAATGGGAAGTGTACTTTCAATCCAGTGAACAACACACGGACGGCTCAGGTTCCTGCAAACCCCATGTTATCGGATTTTGTGAGCGCATAGATGCAGGAGGCTGTCATATCCCGTACTCCGGACCCCATTTCCCATCCCTATTGTCACCATCCTTTCCTTTGCGCATGCTATACTTCAGTAGGATCAGCCCTACTACCTCCGTCCATCATCCGACTTGATATCCAGCCTTCCGGATACTGCAGCCAGCCTGTACCCCTGACCTCTGAACCTTCGGATCTTCGGACCTCCGGAACCTGTCCGAGTATATCCGGACTATTTTCCCGCGCTTCGGATCCAGACTTCCGGACCTGTATCGGATCCCGTCCGATGTCCAGATCCATTTCTGATATGATACGATAAGCTTGTCCTGTTCACATAAGGATAACACAGCCTATTCCGTTATTCGGTATTCCTTACTTCCGTCTTCTCGGTAATCCTCAATACCCGACTATGTTCTTGATCCATTTCCTTTTAAGTATTATTCCTATGTTTCCGGTATTCGGTTATTCTCGTATTCCGTTCCATTACTGATCTACTCTGCCTTTTCATATCCGTCTCCATTCTATTATGATCCGTGACACTTCACCATAATATTCCACATGTCTCATACATAGCTTCGGACAACTGTTTACTTACATTTCCTGTGCTATCTTCAGTATATAAACCTCCGTACATACTTGTAGTACTTCAGTTCGAATATTAAAAGTTATTCTCCATCTAAAGTTATTCTCCATCTAATGTTATTCTCCATCTAACACTATTCTCCATCATGTAGTCTTAAGGGATTGATTCCCTTATGCTCCGACTCTACCTTTCGGTAGTCTTTCCTTATGCTCCGATACTTTCGGACCTTGTCCGATAGTAATCCTTGTCTTTCCTTATGCTCTGATACTTTTGGACCTTGTCCGATAGTTAATCCTTGTCTTTCCTTAACCTCCACTACTTTCAGACCTTGTCCGATAGTCATCCACTGTCCTTCACTTATCCTAGACTATTCCAGACTTCGTCCGATAGTCGTCTTGTATCCTCCGCTTATCCTATGTCCTCCGATACTTCCTCTGTTCATCCTAGACTATCTCGGACTGTGTCCGGATAGTCATCCTCCATCCTCCGACATATCCTCTGTCCGGACATTGGCTTGATGCCTTGTCCTTATCCATCCTTATCTGTTACACTCCCTCCGTACCCTCGGGTCACTTCCTCTGGTCCAATCTCGGATATACCCTCCTGTTCCCTTTCTGCTTCGGACTTCGTCCTTGCAGCCATTACTCTGTTGGTTTCTACTTGGGATTCGTTCCGAAGTAGTCTTTAACTCTTCCCCCATTCCTGGATATGTCTTCAGTAGTGTTTCCCACAGTCCGGACGTACGTCCGGATTAGTTCCCACGCTCCGGATATACTTCCGGACGAGTTCCCGCAGTCCGGATATCATGTCCGGACTTTCCCACGCTTTCGGAAGTCCATTGGGCACTTCCACCAGAGTTGCCTTACCTTCGGAGTTCCACTGAACTTCGTTGGATGTCCTCCGGACTTCATTTCGAAATATGGGGCACATACTCGGGTAAGGGGCACAGCGCACGAGCTGAGGCCAAGCCCTTCCTTCCTAATCCGACCCTCCGGCATGGATTCTGACAGAGGCGCACATTCAACACCATCTCCCAGTAAGTGTGAGACTGGCTACCTCCGATCTTCGGACATGCTCATTGATTTGGACTAAGATATACAACAGGAAAGTAGAGGGAATTCTCTATGACACACGGGCAACTTCTCGTCACCTTGTTTTAGGGTATCATGAAAGATAGATTACATACTTACTATTGTTGAATCTGACAGAATATGTCCTCAAGCTTGCAGACAATGTTATTGTGAGTATGGACCTTACATACACTACTCAATATACCGATTTACGCAAGTCAAGGCCTACACAAAGAAACACCTTACAACTTTTAAAATTCCAGATGAAACTTTCAAGGATTCAGAGATGTCGGATGTGGTGACTACATTCATCAAAAAGAATTTAATGACACAGCGAGGGAGCATGAAGCAAAAGGTACTTGACATTTTAATGAGATTTTCACACTCACATGTTTCAAAAATCAATTATAATATCAGAACCAAGACAAATATATCTGTCCTTGCTAAGTCTCTAACAACAACAAGTCATAAAATCACAGCAGCACACTGGGCTTGCTTTGCCTTTCTAGTAAACATTAGCCTCCTACTCTTGTTTGTTTTTATCTGCTGACAAAGTGCCATTGAACAGTGCAGTACATTTGTCAACTTCCAGACTATCATTGAGTAGTCTATGGCCACATTAGCTGCAGCTCAGAATAGCACTGCTGTAGTATTGAGAGACAAAGATAATGACTCTTTCAAGACACCAGGCCTAGATCCAGCTACAAAAGAGAATCAAAAACCTCATGAAGTCACAGTCACTGATATAACAGAGAAGACACAGAATTTGGTATCAACCGATTATTGGGAATTTGTTGACATTCTCCTTCATGATATCAGGAAGGAAGCTCATGTCATTGGGAAGATGTCATTGGAACACAAAAAGATAGTCGAGACATAATTCTTTTTTCTTTTTTTTTACTTCAATCATTGACAATTATTCTAGTTTCTTTACAACTCGTCTCCAAGATGACATGAAGTGATATTCATCTACTCACTCCTTTATCTCAACTTTCAACAATATAACTATTTACTAGCA